TGGTATGTTCAAATAAGAAGCGATTCTTTCATAAAAAGTAAATAAAATGAAATAAAATAAAGAATGTAAGTAAGTTGCCATTTAGGTAAGATGTCAAAGTTGATGTTTAGAGGTCAACGTGAGGTGCGCGGCATTTTTAAGAAAACTGATAAACAAACAATACCACTAATATTGATAAAATAGGCAAAACTAGAGGTAATTTAAGCCTTTTTTTTGGCTGTTAAGCAAACTCTAAGTCAGACTAGGAACACTGTACAATCTTTCATTCGGGGTTATGCTGTAGTGCAGCATTTCTTAACGTAAAATTATTTTTTAAAGTGTGCTCTCAAGATTAAGATCCTGATATCGGGGATTGAACAAAATGGTACTGAGATTTTACTGCATAGTACTAATGTTTAAGACACGTTCGTTTGACCGTATTATATGTCTTTCTCCGAGAGAAAGTGAGAAAAATGTTCTTTCCAGTAGACTGCAAAACAATCGGTTTTTTTCTCAAAATCAGTAAAGAAATCGGTAAAGCGTGGCGTAAGAGTCTTACGCGCGAAGCGCGCGAGCCTCACACGTCCGTAAGGCGAGAATGAAAAAAAACCCAGCATTAGCATTGCTTCTCTGTGAAATATAGTATATAAAGTGGAGGATCAAAAATGAGTGGAAGTGGCAGTACGCCAACAAAGCCTGAACATGCTCCTCGAAGGAGGAGTAAGCCGAAAGAGCCGAGCGCTTCGGATAAATTGTAGAATTTGAAAACACAGTTCGGCAATTTTATGAATGGACGGATAAGTTCGGAAAATGTGTTTGTTGCGCCTACCAGAAAAGGAGAAACGTTACCAAATTTGGCCGACCTTCTGAAAAACGAACTTTTTCGTTGTCCTCGAGGAAGGAGAACCTTTCTCCACAAGAGTTTGCTCTCCGGCGGAACAAAGGTTAGAAACTGGGCTGTGATGCTTTCCCAAACTGAGAGAAAAATTGACCTCGCCAACTGACAATGAACAATTATTTCGATTGAAAAGAATGGGTAAATCCCCTCATTCCAATCCATTTCCTCGTGATTTGGCTCTGTAAATCGCTATCCGTGAGAATTTAAACATCCTGCTAAAAACGCTAACGAGCTAGGCCCAGCGTGACAAAACCTTGCAGGAAAAAGTCACATTCATGGACACAAAGAAAATGGCTCAGAGTTATTCAAATCCAGGAGGCACTTTGGAGAAATTAAACAACCTAAAACCCTTACTCAGCCGCAATGATTAACTTTACGTTTCAAAAGAGACCAAGAAAGAAAATGCTCTTGCATCAGTGGGCAAATCATGCCGACTAGAGAAAATCAATATGCGTGTCACGACCTCTCAGCATGAAATATATTTAATAAGTGGCCAAAATTCACATTTGTCCAGTCAAAACGTTTTCCTCCAAAACGTAATCTACTCGTCTACACATTTTACGTAAGGTAAGCTGTTTTTTTTTATTTTATTGAAATCCTTTCATTTTCGTAGGTTAGAGAAACGATAGGTCTTTTTTCCCATACAAATCCTTATATTTTGAATGTTCCGTAACAATGCCGATGCTCGCCGATGCTCATATTTCGACCTTGGGCTACCTGTGGTAAAAGTCGTGTGTTTTCTACCGATCCCCCTTTCTTACACTGGCGAGATAACAATGACTGTCGGCCGTTGCACGAAACTTGAAGAACTCTTTGCATGAACAGACATCTGATAAATAAGGCTGTTGGTAGGACACAGAAAACATCCTTTCCGCTGAGCAGCATCTCCAAATCTTTCCTCTGCTTCGATTTTAAAACAAATCCCAGTTCTTGCGCGAGCAAATCCAGGCAATCAACATCCGTCATTTAACAGCGAAAGCTTTAGAAATCTATTCTTCACGCGCTGTACGGAATATCGCGAATGACTTGTTGAAAACATTACTTGACAGCTTTTTGACAGCTTGCATTGAAATTTAGCCAATCGGAATTGCCCGTGGCTGGGAGAAGCAAGTAATTCGAACCAAAATAACGTATGCAAAATTTTGAGCGTCTCTCCCCAGTCTCGCTCTCTGTTTTCAGCCTCGTTCCAGACCTTTCGTTTGACTGCTCGCGCGTACTTGAATACGCAAAAATACGGACTGTTTTGCAGTCTATCTTTCCAGATGAGGTCGTCTCATGAGTACGTGACTACGTTCAACAATATGACTATTAAAATAATTCTCCAAGAGTAGAGTAAAAAATACGTTATACTCTGTATTCTTTCAGTTAAACATCAGGTTTAAAGTTCGACATTATGACATGCATGCTGCTCAGTATATAGGATGGATATACACTGGTGAAGAAGTACGTAGCAAAACAGTACCCTGCCTCTGTAGACGATACTCTTGCCGTCTTATGATAACGACTGATCACATCTGCTTCCTCAACGACGTGAACTCTGTTTTCCCACACTCTTACGCTCTTACATTGATAAATATTCTTTCCTGTCCCCAATATACACGCACTAATGTTTCACGAGATAATTTGTTAAAGAAGAAATAAATTCACGTCAGTCTTTAACCCTCGGACTTTCACCCGTGGTACAAGAAGATGTGGTTGCAACCCCTCTGGAGTTCTTGCTATGTTATACAGGTCAAGCTTACCCCTATAGATTCCATTAATTAATGAATCGATTTGTATGAAAAATGAATTCGTTGTACGATACGTAGAGTCGTTGCCACAACCAGGGGTCAATTTAATAAAACTTTACAAGTGTAATTCTTAAGTGTAGCTATTGTCTAAGGATCCGAAAAGAATAGCTACACTCCATTTCGGCGCTCTCTTGGGGAACTAATTTTTTCCATACCGAAAGTGTGGCTTCTTGCTGGGGATTAATATTAATTTTTGCAATTTTCAGGAGGTCGTGCCCTCGAAACACTAGTGAAACAACACGAACATATGTCACTGTTTGTAAAACACGTTGCCGATAAACAACATTTCCCTGTTTTTCTCTGACGCTACGGTAGAGATTATGCCTAGTCCCTGTACGGCGTCTTCCCAGGCAATCTCGGTGAAGGCATTTCGGTAGCAAACTCGCTCGAACCACGTGACCCGAAAAGCATTAGCCGCGCGGAATAATGCGGCCTACTGACAAGGCAACAGCAGACAGTCGTTCTGTACAATCCTTCGCTATCATTAAAAACACTGGACAAGGGAATTTTTTTATTGGCCGTTGTCTACAAGAGCTAGAAATGGATCATCAGTCTGAGACTGGCCTGTGTACAGTACGCCCTCCCCACAGACACCCCTTCTCCGATTTTTTCTGGGGGGAGGGGGCGCCTGTACACAGGCTATCTGGAACGGATAATCCCGTCTTCGAAAGTCAGGCGGATTGTTCATTTAAAATTAAAACTATTCCATTTCAAATTAAGACGTATTTCCTATCTGACGCGAATCATCAAACAGATAACCCGTCTCACACGAATAATCCTTCTCTAGTCTGAAAACGGCCATTTCTGTTATAATGAATGTCGCGCACCGGCCTTGAGTTGGGCGTTCGC